ATGCAAGAAGGGTGGACAGATGTGCTCAAGGGCACTCAGTGGGTTAGGGGCAGAGCTAGTGAGGAAGTATATAGTTCCAGTCCTGGACCAGGGCTCATTTTTCTACCCCATACCTGCCCCTGTTGAAGGATGGGAGCAGGAGAGCTCCGAAGGGTGAGGGAGGCAAAGGCATTTGGCCAAGAGGAAAGGTCCTTCTGTGGGTACCTCCGCCAGCCTCTCGCAGCTGCGAGGCTTGGCCCAGCAGAATCTGAGCCACCAGGACCCGACCAGGTGGGAACACGTGAGGAGCCTCACCCCAACAGGGGGCGGGACCCGGAATGAGCCCTGGTGCCCTAGGGCCCGGGCCCGCATGTGTCTACTGAGGGCACTGGCGGGGGCCAGGGAGGTGACAGCATATGCCCCCCTAGATCACAGCCATGACACTCGGATCTACCTTCCCAGGAGGGAGCAGCTGCCAATCTAGGAGTCGAGGGTCAAGTCACTGTTCCAGTGCCAAGTCTTTATGTTCAGAAAGGGGTGAGGGGACATTGTGCAATTGCTGGAAACACGGCGAACACATTGTGCAATTGCTGGAAACACGGCGGAACATGAAACACAGGAAACCAGCTTCTTGAATTGCACAATGTAAATCATGGTTCCAATTGTCCTGCAACAGTGTTTCAAAACAAACCACAAAAAGAAGCAATTGCTATCAAGATGGGAACTGAAAACAAAGATACTCCGGGACAGCGCTCTCCAACCTTTTTGGCACCAGGGACCGGTTTCGTGGGGGACAGTTTTTCCACGGATGGGGGTGGGAGTGGGGGTGGGGAGAAGCGGGAGATGGGGAGCGGCAGGTGAAGCTTCGCTGCTTGCCCACCGCTCACCTCCTGCTGTGCGGCCCTGTCCCTAACAGGCCCCCTGCTCTAGAAGCATTACCTCTTGAAGAGAAACTCACTGTCAGCTTACACGTGGCCCACCATCTCTCTCTCTCTCTTGTTTTTGTTTTTTAATGGCCGCCCCACATGGCTTAGTGGGATCTTAGTTTCCTGACCAGGGATCAAACCCGGGCCCTCAGCAGTGAAAGCACAGAGTCTTAACCACTGGACCACCAGGGAATTCTGTATTGTTGTGTTTTTTTTTAATTTTTCATGTTTATATTTACTCTCAATTACATTTTTTAAAATAAAATTTTAAATTAATTTATCTATTTTTGGCTGCGTTGGGTCTTCGTTGCTGCACACAGGCTTTCTCTAGATGCGGAGAGCGGGGACTAGGGGGCTACTCTTGTTGTGGTGCGCGGGTTTCTCACTGAGGTGGCTTCTCTTGTTGCAGAGCACGGGCTCTAGGCGCACGGGCTCAGTAGTTGTGGCACGTGGGCTCAGTAGTTGTGGCTCACGGGCTCTAGAGCACAGGCTCAGTAGTTGTGGCATATGGGCTTAGGTGCTCCGCGGCATTTGGTTCTTCCCAGACCAGGGATCGAACCCGTGTCCCCTGCATTGGCAGGTGGATTCTTAACCACTGTGCCACCAGGGAAGCCCCCCTCTGGGTTTTTTTGAAGGTGCCTTCCTCCAGCCATGAAATCCTCCGACACATGGTCACTGAAATGTACCCATCCCACAGCCCTGTCCCCTGCAGCCTTGAGGGAGCTGGGATCCCAGGATTGTGCCCAGCTAGTGGCCTGGCTTGCCCTGGAGGAGGCTGTGAGACCACACTGCCACCATGTGGGCACCTCTGCTTACAGCCACAGCTGAAAATTGCGGCTGCCTGCCCCGCCACCAGCTGCAAGGGTTTGAGCCCCACATTGCCCTCTGGTGGCCTCGATTGGCTGGCTGGCCCTAGAGGTTGGTGGGAAAGCGGCAGCAGCCTAGGGTCAAATCAGATCCTTGCTCAGGGATCTAAAGTACAACTTTAAGCTTCCAACTCCTACTATCTGGGTGACCCTGGACAAGCTACTTATCCTCTATGTGTCTCAGTTTCTCTATCTGTAAGATGGGGGCTGTAACAGTAACAACCTCACAGCGTTGTAGGATTAAATGAGTTAATACATCGGGTGTTTGGAGCAGTGTCAGATGTCTGGTAACTCTTCAGCAGGTCAGTAGCTTTCAAACCCTGTGACCATGATCCACAGTAAGAAATACATTCTTTATCACAACCTAGGACACTCAGCTATATATATACATAACACTAACAAATATTTCACAAAATAATACTTATAACATGCAACGTACTCTGACAATTCTGATTTTTTTTAAAAAGCTGATCATAACTCAGTAAATTGATTTATCAAACCCACTCGTGGCTCATGTCACACAGGCTGAAAAACACTGCAATAAATAAGTAAGAGGTAGCAGAAGCTTTACCCTAGCTCAGGCTGCCAGTCCTGGCTTCCTTCCCTTCCCTGTGCCCTGAGCCTGCCTTGTAACTGAGCCGGAGCCAGGCCAGGTCAGCTCTGGCTGGGCAGATGAGCCACCATAGAGCTGAGGAGACCCTCTGCGGCCTACTGTGAGTGCAGCCTTCTCGCAGGTTCTCGCCCTGCAGGTGGGAAGGATATGCTTTCACTCTCATCAGGCACTAACAACATGGCAGGCCCTGTGCTCTGTCCTTCCTGCAACCTCACAGCCCTCTACGAGGAAGGCATCATTCTTCCAATCTCTCAGCTGAGAAGCCTGAGGTCAGCAGAGGTGAAGTGACTATGGACTATGGATAAACAGGACTGGTCCTCCTCTGGAATGTGGAATGTGAATTAATCAGGGAAATTGGCCTTACAGAAAATGCTGTGAAAATGCTAAACAGGGTTAATCGGAGGCTCTGAAAGAGAAAGCACTGGAGACACAGAAAAACCGAAATGGAAACAGGCAGGGTGGGAGTGCCCCTGCCACATGGCATCCGGCATTAGCAGGAACAGCTGCACCAAAGGACACTGACTTCAGGAGAGGCAGGGGCACCGGTGTCCCACTGTGGATTACCACTGTTGGCTCCAGTCCTAGGCCGGGGCAGAGGCAAAAGTGAGAGGTCAGACAAGGTGGAGACCATGCCTGCCCACGCCCTGCCCTGGTCTCCTGCCTGTGATGGATGAGGAACTCTATTTAGCAGAAGGCTGACCAGGGGATGTGAACCTGTTCCAGGGAGTCCATCACCCCATTCCAGAGGAAGGTCCCTGCACAGCTGTGGCTGTGGCCCTGCCTGCCTGAGGAGTGAGGCAGTGAACCTGCCAGTTGGACAGAGGACAAATAACAGCATGATGTGGCCAAGATGAGCTGGAGAAAAACATGGCAATGATTCTGGAAGGGCACAATGGGCCCATGCAATGTGGTGGGGGAAGTAGGATTTGGAGTCAAAGATGTGATTTGGGTCCCTGCTCTTTGTTCATGGAACAAATAATCACTGAGCACCTATTACGATGCTCCAAGCCCCAAAGTAAGCGTTGACGCACTGGTGATAGAGTGGTGAGCATAGCTGCCTCCCAAGTAAGCAATGGAGAGACAGAGACCCCCAGGTGCTTATAGTGAGTGAGGAATAAAGAAACTGTAACAATCCAGGGTACTGAGTCTGGTGATTGTTAGACACACAGGGGCTGTGGAAGCTCAGTGGAGGGAATCTACCCCTGCTCGAGGAGGATCAGGTTTGTGTCTCCAGAGATGATGCCTCATCTGGTACCTGGTAGCATTTTCTCAGATGAACAGCAGAGGGAAAAGCCTTCCAGTTGTAGGGAGTAGCAAGTGCAAAGCGCAGGGATGGGAGAGACATTTAGGTGAACTATGGTTCTGTGATTCCCACTGGCTGGAGTGGAGGTGTGAGATGGGGCTCTGCCAGTTTACCTTCTTCATGACCCTGGACAAGTCCTGTAACCTCTCAGACTATAAACTGCTCCCTGGGATATCAAAAGATACTTGGTTTAATAAGCATCTATGGAACATCCTCTGTGAGCCAGGCACTGTATCCGGTTGGTGCTGGGCATATGGAGATGTGTAAAAGCTACAAATCCCTACTCACAGGAAGCACATGGTCTCGTGGAAGAGACAGACACTATGCTCTGTGTTACTAAGAGTCATGAACAAAGCACCAGAGAGAAGGAGGCAATTAATGCTGCTCAAAGAAGAGGTGATGAGTAAGTGTTCTACCAAGTGGACAGAGGAAGAAGCATTTCAAATTAAGCAAAGGCAAGGAGGAAGGAAAAGGCATTGATGTATTCATAGAACAGGTCAGGAATGGTTGTAAGGTAAGGTACAGGGTGCAGGGGAGACAAGGGCTGACTGTGACACCAGCCTGGGACACACAGGTGCCTGGACCCCTGGTGTCCATGGCAGTGACAATGGGTGTGAATGCAAGGGCCAGGCCCAAGCAGGTTCACAGGTCACCACACTTTCTGTGGGGCCTCAAAGGCAGGCCCTCCAAGTACTACCACCATCTGGCATCTTGTCCGGGCCCAGTTCCCCAGCACTCCAAAGAGACAAGCTTGAGGGGCCTGGGTGGAGGACAAGCCCAGCCATTTATGTCACGTATTGGGAAACAGAAGCCCCCAGGGGCATGGTGACTTGCCCGAAACCACGAGGTTATACAGTCGCAGGTGACAGACAATGGCCACAAAGCGTCCTCTTGTTGCTCCGAAGCCGCACTGAGACAATGAGACAAAGGGGTGCGATGCTGGCTGACATATACTGCGGCGAGAGTTTGCAAACTCCAGAACCAGCCCTCCCTCCCCCCCTTCTTCTCCAACTAGTACCGTCCTGCCGCTCCCTCCTCCTTCCCCTCCTCTTCCGGACCCTCCTCTGGGTCCCTCCGGCCTCTTCCGGTCCCTCCCCCTGAGGACCCGCCCCTCCCTCCGGTCCCTTCCCTAAGGGCCCGCCCCTCTTCCGGTCTCTCCCTCCAACAGACCATTCTCAGGTGGCAATATACCTAGATAAAATCAGACTACATCTCCCAGGCATACGTGCTGTTAGATGTGGCTGTGTGACTATGTTCTGGTCAAGAAGATGTAGGTAAAAATATGTGGAACTTTCAGGAAGGTCACTTCAAGCCTGTCCCCGGAAGTGACGCTTAAGGCCCTCCCCTGAGGAAGTGACAACAGGAGTGCCCTTGACCGGTGGGGAGGGCCGCGCAGTGCATGCCTCCGCTCTCGCTGCAGGGAGGTAGGAGGCCCGTGGGGGTGGCGCGAGGTGGTGTCAAGGCGGCTGAGGCACTCTGCTGGCGCGCTCCTGTGCGGGCCGGCGGCCGAGCGGACAGAGACCTTGGGCTGGGGGAACTTGCTATCCGGGGAGCCGGGGTCCCTGGTGGCGTCCAGTTCCTTCCACACACGTTCCTCCTTTTTTAGTTCCCCCCTCCTACCCCGTGCCTCTTCGTTCCTCCTTGAATTGTTGCGGTTCCTCTTTCCTGATCCTTTGACAGCCACCCTCTTTGTCCTAAATTTCCCATTAAAACACTTTGAAAAAAAGTAATCGATAGAGTAAGGACTTCTCAGGCCGCCGTGGGTTCCAACGTTGATTCTCATTTAATAATTGGGTTATTTTGGACCTGTCACGATTTACCTGAGCCTCGGAGTTTCTCGTATACATCTCTTTTAATGGTGTATTGACTGCCCCTACTCTTCCTGCCTCTTCCCCTCACAGATGGCTCAGCGGCTTCTCCTGAGGAGGTTCCTGGCCTCCGTAATCTGCAGGAAGCCCTCTCAGAGTCGGTGGGCGCCCCGTGCCTCCAGGGCCCTGCAGACCCCACAGCGCAGTCCCAATAACCTGACAGTAACACCCAGCCAAGCCCGGTCAATATACACCACCAGAGTCTGTACAACGACCTTTAACATCCAGGATGGACCAGACTTTCAAGACCGAGTTGTCAACAGTGAGACACCGGTGGTTGTGGATTTCCATGCACAGTGAGTCCTGGGAGTTGGCAGAAGACTGGGGTATCACTTGTTCAGGTATTTGTTTATTGAGAGCCTGCTATGTCTCAGTACTACATTTGATTCTTCTCATACGTAGACTCATTCCAAAGATTGTTGAGACCCAGTCCCTTCTCTCAAAGATTAAGTATAGTTTGGCAGGAGACAAACTAGTAAACAGTCTTCAGAACTCACTGTGATTGGTGCTGCGAAACACTTATGTCGTGTATCTCACTGCCCGAATGGCCCCGGTCATCTTCAGCTTGGACCAAAGCAGGAAAACTATGACTCCAGCATCATCTGACTTTTGGCCCATTTTTTTTCCTGGCCCGTTAGAGAGTTGATTTTATTTTGACATCTTGCCACCTAACCTGGGAAGGGCTGGCAAAAAGTTATCAGTGCCACCACAGTGGTGCCCAGGCATGCAGGGGATGGGCAGGAGTTTCTTTCCAGTGCTGTGTGAGTTTGTTTTAGGGATATTTAAATGTCTGTGGTCTTCTGATTGTTGGCCTGCCTTATTCATTTCCGGACCTTTGAGGCCTGGCTAGACGCCTGACTCCAAAACTACTGGACAAACCCCTCAGAATGGGGCATCCTGAAAGAAGCCAGAGTTAGAAGTTGGAAGGCCTTTTGCGCAAACCAAACCACTGACAGATTCTTTTGCTTTCTTTCCCATTCTTTCTCTGACTCACCATGTTGCCTTGGGCAGGCCATGTGGTGTTCTTCTGCCTCCCTCTCTTCACTTTGATAGGAGATAAGGTCTTGCAGACTGGGTTTTTAGGTGTTGTGAGTTCATTAAAGTCTCTGAATGCAAAGGGTTTAAAGGCTGAGAATAAAATAGGAGTCACCAGTTGGGGGTTCGTGAAAGGCAGAGCTGTCCTGCCCTCCTGGTCTGATGAGCATACCCGAGAAAGCTTCTAAAATGGATGAAAAGTGGGGTGATGCCTTATCTTCTTCAAAAAGGAAGCAGGGGGTGAGTTTGTTCATTCAGTGCCAGGCACTGTCCTTAGTGGCACATACTTAGAGATGACAGTCTAGGCTTACCATCTAGAGGGGAACACCTGTGTTAGTGCAGTGATGGCAGTTGACACAGGGCCTGGGGGATCACAGAGTAACCTGGGGCTAAAAGAAGACACTTGGAACACAACCTTGGATGCAGTCCCAGACCTTGCACAAGTCTCGTAACTTGTTTGGGCCTCAGTTTCTTAGGAAGACGTTTTCTTTTCCTTTGCAGGGTTGAGGGTTCTGTGTAGTAAAAGCTGAGAAGGTCCTGGCACAGTGGCTGGCAGTCGTAGATACTCCCTAGCTACTGGTTTCCGTTCCCTTAGTTCCGAGTCCGTGAAGTGTTTGAAGTAACTCTGCAGTTTACAAAGTATATTTATCCATATTACCTTAATTGATTTCTCATCATAGCTTCTAGATCCAGAATCTCACTTTCAAATGAGGAAACTGAAGCTTCAGAACAATCAGCCGTTTGGCAGGAGCCTGTCTTTGAACCTAAACCTTTTAACTTCAAATCCCATGTTCATCTATATGACAGTGTATTTCTTTTAGGTATAGTGAAATATGTGAAATAACCTTTCTAAGAGTCTTAGGATGAGGCTCGTGTTTTAGAAATCCAGGACCTGTAAAAATTCCCCAGTTGCAGAGTCTCCTGGAGTTACCTGGCATGTCAGCATTACAGGGTAATATCCAAACACTGTAAGCAGAGGTGATGAGGCCAGACAGTCCCTTGGAAAGATGTGGGTCAAGGGAAGGTCCTGGGAAACCGTAGATTGATTGGCGAGCGCTTTTGTGACGGGATGCTTCTCCTTCCCCTTCCGAGGTGGTGTGGTCCCTGCAAGATCCTGGGGCCAAGGTTAGAGAAGGTGGTGGCCAAGCAGCATGGAAAGGTGGTGATGGCCAAGGTGGATATTGATGACCACACAGACCTCGCCATAGAGTATGAGGTATGTTTCGGCAGGGGATGGCCACAGGGCAACTGGTGTGGGGATGCTTGGGGCCACAGGATAGCTGGAGACGTCTTGGGGGCCACCAGGGCGTCAGTAAGGGGGTGTCTTGATTCTTTCTAGAGATCTCAGGGGTTCAGAGCACTTCAGATGTGACTCCCTTGGTCCTCTGAGCCTCCTGTCTCTCTTCACCACCTTTAGGCAGTGGGATGTGTGACCCCAAACACCAGGTTTTTCTTGGAATCTTGGGAAATTGATGCCCTCCCTCATTCATGGATTCATCCATCCATCTGTGAGCCCTACGGCGTGCCAGGCGTACATGATTCTGGCGCAACTAAGTTGAGCTCCTTGTCCCCGGGGTTGGGGTGGGGGAGTAAAGGGGATAGGGAATGTGTCACGGTAGAGGGACCCTCTGAGCAGAGCCGTGAAGGATGTACGGAGAAGAAGGCAGGGCCGAGAGCACAGCAAACACAAAGACATGAGCTGTTCTGTGCCTGACTGGTTTGTGCATTCCTTCAGCAGACATGTATTCAGAGTCCCTTCAAGGCCAGGGCTGTTACTTGGTGGTGAGGATGTGGCAGTGAACAGAGCTGACAGAATCCCTGCCTTTGTGGAGCCTACATGCTAGTATTTTAGATTGGGCATCCACAAACTTGATCTCTAAAGGACGAGGTGGTACATGTTTGAGGCTTTGCAGGGCATTGGTCTCTGTTGCAATACTCACCTGTCTTGTAGCATGAGAGCAGCCATAGAAAGTATGTAAACAAATGGGCGTGGCCGTGTGCGGGTAAAACCTCATTTACGAAAACAGGCAGCGGGCAGCAGGTTTGGCCTGTGGGCCACCGTTCGCTGATCCCTGTTTTAGATGATAAGTGCCGTGGAGAAAAAGAAATCAGGAAGTGGGGGGAGTGCTGGGCACAGGGCTGGGGAGGGTTTCCTTTTTTAAAGGGTGGGCTAGGGAAGGCCTCACTGAGAAGCTGACAGCTGAGCAAAGACCTAGAGGGAGTAAGGACCGAACCATGCCGCTCTTCGGAAGAG